AGGTTCGATATTATGAAGAATGTTTTTCCTGTGAGGATGGTGAGGTACTGGAACAGCTTGCCCAGAGAAGTTGTGGCTGCCCTATCCCTGGAAATATTCAAGGTGAGGTTGGGTGGAGCACTGAGCAACCTGGTCCAGTGGGAGGTGTCCCTGCCCATTGCAATGGGATTGGAACTAGGTGATCCTTAAAAGGCCCATCCAGCCAATCCAGAAGGTCAAACTGATTAATTTCTTAGTTGAAAGCACAATCTGAAGTCATGTATGTTACAAATGAGGTGAAACACTGAAAGATGTTTTTTTTTGTTTTAAAATTCAGTCATTAGAGAACTTCTAAAGTTGTATTTATGACGAAATAATTTGTTACCTATCCTTTTTGTTGCACCCTGCAATGAATGATGGGAACTTACAGCATTGGTATGTCACCAGTCCTTAGATGCCGCGTTGGTACTGCCATGTGAATGTTCCAGAGCTGTGGCAAAGCGTGAAAGACGAAGAGAGGAAAGAGAGAGAATGAGGAAAAAAAAGAGAGAGGAAGGGGGCCCAATCTGTTCCGTTTTATAAGTGACCTGGTGCAGCCTCTTATGTAAACTAGATTTTTTGTGCCATTCTATTCACGTATGCACAGCCCCTTTGAGCTTCCTCCAGGAAATGAGTCAGGGGTGGTGGGGGTGCTGAGCAAGCGTCTCCAGGTGAAGCAGAAAGTTGGTGCAGAATATGTTGTCCCACCTCTGCAGGACCCTCTGCTCTGATCACATCTTACCTGTCATCACAGTCAGAGTGCTTGAGACAGAACAGGCTTATGTCTGGTCCTCCATGCAGTAGGATTAGATTTTTTTTGATCTCTTCTGTGAGAAACCTCTGCAACTCTGTAGTGTGGTCTCAAAGATAGGCAAGTAGGATTTATTCACAGGAAATGTGAACTATCACAATTTTCATTCACATACTCGATAACCTTTAGCAGCTGTGGGAAAAAAGATACTGAGGAGAAACCTTAAGATTATTTGTCTCCTGGTTATAAATACTTTATTACACTTTAAAAATTCCAGTGTTTTGTTGATATTTCATTGATAGAGTGAACTATCTTTTATTATTTTGAAATCTTTCATTATCCAAGGAAAAATTAAGTTTTTCTGCCTAGCCTCTGAGATTTAATAATAAGCCATTAGTTGGGTACACTGGGTGTATAGCCTGAGATGTATCAAGAAACAAATGCTTTTCCTACATCATTCACTCTTGGATTTTGCTATTTCCTCACATAAATGTTACTGTTATTAACAGGACATGATAATTCTCATCCAAATGCAAATAATCTGATTATAGTACACTTCTGATACATCTAAATACCAATATGATATTTGTATGCTATTTTTAAAGAGAGACAATTAATTATTCCCTTTTCAGTTATAAAAACATTTTGATATCTTCAGTATTTGCAGCATCTTTGCTGAAAGTGAAAAATGTGCATTTCTTCAAGTCTGTATGTAAATGAAAGGCTAATGTACTCTTGGCAGTAGATTAGGGATGCTATTCTACTAGGAGATTTCTGTTTTAAATTATTGATGAATCCTGGAATATTTGCCTAACTGAGAACAAGTGATTGCATCTGTGAGTAGTGTAATACCAAAGCAGGTCTAAGGCTGTTGCCACCTTCTGAAACTCTGTTCTAGATATTGCTGTAGTGTTTATATTTCCATTCTTGCTCTAGGGAGAACAGTCATACAAAGTTTCTTAAGGACTGATGTACTCTTCTGAGCTGCTAAACCTGCAGGGATCTCTGGCAAGGTCTATGTAGAGATTGAAGCCTTGCTTGAGTAAGCTTTCTTATTTCCCAGATAACACCTGCTCTATTTCCCAGGTAACACCTTCACAGTTTGCTGACTAACTTGTACAGTAAGATTTATGGTAAAAGGCAAACTTCTTTTCCTGAGGAAACTATTCCTTGCACTGAATTAGCAGTGCAAAATCAGAGCAGATTTAACAAGCGGTCTCAAAAATGTATCTATATCCATGATTCTCAGTTCATATGTGCAATATTGTGAATTTTTGGGGAACTGAAAGCAATGAAGGTATAACTGCTTTTTGTCAGGAGTTTCTACACAGAAAACAAGGTTTATATTGTTCTGGAAAGATTTGATTCGGGATTCTTATTCCACATGCAGTAAATAAGTTAGGGAAAACTTTTTACAGTAAATGATAGGTGGTCACCTAAAATTTGAAATGCACCTTTTTCTTCTGATAATTCACATTTTTCATGCATGAACACATGCACATATATATATATTTGCTCAGACCACAATAAATGTATGCATGGGTGTATGTGCACATCCATATGTCTGTAGACATATATAGTAGATTTCAGCTATTTCTTATCCATTAATGCATGTCATATGCTTTCTTTGCAGAATTTGGAAACTAATGTAGCAGAGGCAAGAGAACAAATTAAAGAGTTAAGCAGTAGATGCAGTAACTTGTCATCTCAGGTAGCTGTGAAACAGGAAGAAGTCTTCCAAAAGAATTGTGATGTGATCAGAACTAAGTAAGTATTTCATGATTTCATTGCCTTTAAGTCTGAATCTTCTCAGAAAGACTGTAATTCCATTTACCAAGTATCTTGCATTAGAGGTATTTTTTGTGCAACTCTGTATTTTAATACCATTCTGTTCCACAAGATATGAGGCTTTTGGAAGTCTACCAGTTTATGTAGACTCTGTCTGATATATTTTGACTCCTGGTATATTTGACCAGTTTTTCAGTAGGAATAGACTTCAAAAATTACACTTCTGTAATCAGCATTGGGTCAGAGAACTACCAATCTCTACTGCAAGTAACAAAATATCAACCTGAGTAGTGACATAAACATTAATTGCAGGGGCTAAATGCCCTAAACTTGGGAAAGCTTTAAGCCTAAGTTTAACTTTCTAATTAAGAGTCAAATCTGACAAGTCAGCAAAAGTCTACGTAGACCTGTGCGGAAAGTTTAAAGTTCAGTGATTTAAGCTTTATCTTAGGTCTCACACACTATTTATTTACACTGAATCTGTAAGATTAGTGCTGCATTATTTGAGTCTTGTAAAAGAAATGAAGGACAGAATGAATTGTATGAGTTGACTAGACTACTGAGTTCCTGAGAATGAAGGTAATGCCAGAAGACAATTGGTAACTTTAAGTGGATTGTCAGGAAGTTGTCCATTTTTCACGTACTTTCAGATTCATACACAGTGTTGCACTACTATGTTAGATGAATAATACTCCCTTCAATATTCCTTCAAACTGTGGTTTTGCCTGAAGAGCTGTGGTTGGGATGTAGAAATCACTGGTATTGATAATTCTCTTTGCTTCCCAAGCAGAAACAATCTTTTTATAGGGACTCAGTATCTAAATCTTTTGGGGGAAAAAAAACCCTAGAAACATGATTTTTCGATGCATCTGATACATCTAAATTGTCTCCTAGTATTTGTAGAAATCTTTACAAAAATGATGTCTTGTTATTTTCATGTTTAAAAGGAATAAATACTAGTGTGTTTTGAAAAGTCAGTAAAAACAGGCCAGTTTATTGGGAAGTTGTATTGAAAGAGGCAATCAACAGAATTTGTGAAATTAAGCAATGGACTAACAGACTTTATCTCCTGAAATGATTCTCAGAAATATATAGAGTGTGAAAGGATTAGGGCCAGCAGAAAAAAGGCATTTTAAAGTCAGGTAATCAGGGTTTTCAAAACTGCTGCTTGCTAATTTCAGTTTATTGTATTGCAGTCTGAGTTGGCCAAATCATTGAACTTCCAATTTCTCAAAATGTATTCTTAGCTACTCACTGCAAAACAACTACTTAGGGTTTGTTCTAGACAACTCATCTAAATATATAAATAAAATAAGGACGTTTTTGAACATAAGGTCTGAACTTGAGGTAATAAAGAGATGCACAGTGTACTTATTTTAAAGTGTTTGAAATCTTTTTCTGTATGTTTTTCCATATAACCAAACTTCTAAATTTATGGAAAACAGGTTGGCAAAGCAATTGTGTTTTTTCCTTCCTAGATACTTATATTGTATAATATAATTTTTCCATAGCACTGGTATGTGAATTATACTTGAGATGTTCTGTATGTATATGTTTGATCAGTATCATTATAATTCAATGTTTGCTTTCTGCTGACTGCTAATCTTTCTTAATGAACTTCAGCTACAAGTTTCTTGTTGACATTTCTATTATGAAAAAAGAAAGCTTAAGCTAAATGGCTTCTTTTAAATAAAATTCAGTTTCAGGGAGCAGTTTCAGTAGTTAGAAATGCATGCTAAGAATTTCAAATAGTCTGTATTTTTTTATGGTTCATAATACCCTAGTTTCTCCTTATCTTCACAAGGTGTTAGTCCATAGATAAAACTATTTTCCTGTAGTTTCTTAGTAAAAAAAAAATCAAAATAATACAAGTCTGTGTAGACAAAAGCCTAACTCTTACACAAGTTAAAGCACCAATTCCATAATTAAAGGAAAAAATCTGAAGAGAAAATGAAGTCTTTGCATCTTCTCATCTTCCTAGGTCAGAATCTTAGAGCTGTGTTGGTTTTATGATTAAAGCATTTAATTTTTCCTTTTTTTTTGTAGCTGATTTTATTTTAAATTCTTGTTTAAAACTTAGTCTTATCAAAGTAGCACATTAAGTGCTCTGTTTGCATTTGATGGTGGCAGAAAATTCTTTGACAAATAGTGTGGGAAATACCCCATCCTTCTTGTTATCTTCAGTCTCCCATCATCAATTTCAAACTTTTGGAGTCAAAAAAGATGATCTGTTTTGCAAATGTCTGTGTTCTTTCCACTGCTCTGTGTCTCTGTCTGCTGCCTTCCTACCCTGGCCTCCCTCCCATTTTTCGAGAACAGACCAGGAACACAGTTAATTATTAGAAACAAACTCTGGAAGAAGAAAGGAAGGAAACTAGTTTCCTTCATTTAGTGTCTTCTTTTATGTGCAGTACAGGCAGACCCAGAAAAATACACCTTCTGCTGACACCTTGGTAATACTGTCGGAATGTTTTACAGTTGATGCTAAACTCAATTGGAAAAGGAAGTCTCCAGGGTTCTATGAGCATTCTGGGCTGGTGCTCTGGTTCTTGTGCATTCACAACTTGCTCTGTTTTGTATATCTGTCAGTCTGTTAGCAAGAGGCTTTTTCAGTTTAAGGGTAACAGTGTCTGTAGGCTCCAAGAGAACTGTTTTCTTCTGCAAATTAGCAGGTACTAAAGGTTTGAAGAAATACTTCAGCCTAACAGAATAACAGGTGCTTTTGGAAATACTGCCTTATGTCAATAAAGGTCTGTCACATGCTTCTGAAGTATGGAAGATACACTTTCTAAGGCCAGTGAACAGACAGTAGTTACAGGCTCCATCCTGTACAGCAAATGTCTTCATGAAGCCAATATCTGCATTTTTGCAAAGCAGTCTTGACCTCACTAGATTTAATTTCAATCTCTTGAATTAGCTGTAAAATGCATTTCATGGTTATATTTTTCATGTTTGCATTCAGTACAGATTTTCTGGATTTATTTAGAGTCCCTGGTAGCCATTCCATTTTCATGTTCTCAACATTAAATTTTGTCATTTGTTTCTGAAGATTGACTCCAACACATCTCTGCAAATTTTTGTTTTAAAATTACACTGAATACTAGGATCTAGAACTTTGTGGTCTGAGCTGTCTCACTGTCACAGGACTCTCATGGAACTCTGGGCATCAAATTGGGGAAGTTTGCTTTCCTCACTGAGACTGGACCGTAACTGTCACAGGTATCCAGGAAATATTAAACTGTTGCAAGCATAGTAAGTTCTGTTCTAAAATGAATTAGAATTTCTTGCTCCTGTGTTTTAGTGGAAGTGTAGGCCATGACTCCATTCCTTTGATTAATATGTTGTCTAAATCTATCCCTGATGGTTTTTCAGATACTTTTGTTGCAATAATATTGCTTCCTCCATTGCATGCTGTCTGTCCCCTCCACCCACCGCCCCACAGTGCAGTTGCTGTTAACCTCTGTGCAGTAAATTATGAGGCAGTCAGATTTTTACTCAGCTCTTATTTTGCTACTCCAGGATTTTCAGGTTATTCTTTGTTGTGTGTTGTAAAACATTTCATGCCATTTCCCTGAGAAGCCATAATTCATAGGGCTTGTCACTGTGTTGTTTTTCTAAACTACAGGTAATGGAATCTAGAGGTTTCCTGAATTACCCCAAACCCTCTTGTATTCCCCTGTAACAGTGATAGTTGAGGTACTCAGAATCCCATGTACTCAACTGAATTGTGGTGGTGAAACAAAGAAAACATCGCCTGAAGTGATGAGTGTGTTTAACTCATTTACAACACAGTTACAGAGCTTCTGGAATGACAGTAGCTAGTCATTTCATTTACATCTCTAGGAAGCCACAGTTTGCTCTAAAACTGTTGATATGTGCAGGACATAAAGGTTTTATTTAATATGTTTTGACAATAGAAGGAAACAGTCTTGTCAGATGTAAGCACCAGACCTGTCTCTACCCTAAACAATTGTAATGACTCTTAAGTACTGTTATTGGCAGGACAAGGTGTCAAATCTTTGAGTCTTACTGCAGTCTAGTTTGTAGTATCTTCATGTAGCATCAACCTTGCAATGCTAAAAGCAAAATCTACTAAGGTTACTGTAACAATAATCTTACTATAGTGGTTAAAATATTGTAATGCTTTTCTATTTTGACCTGTTTTTCATAGTATGCCCTTTCTCGTTGCTTGAAGAGTGCGGGTCATTTTCTGTAAATTTCTTCATTTCCCCTTGTATTCACCTTGAGGTATTAGATTAGGGACAGACAGGTGTTTATTTTATTTCTTAGTACTATTTGGTGGCTTGAGTGTTAAAAGGAGTTAAATGCTCTCAGTGTATCATGGTGTGTTTGTTTGTGGGGAGTGTGGGGCTGATGGGGAAAATTAGACATAATAGGTGTGTCAGTTTGGGTCTTAGCTGACAGAATATTGATTTTTCCATTATGTTGAAATTATGTTCAATTACATTGCTGATGGTGACTATTTTTTCTTAAATTTATGTCTGTTTAGAATGTACAGTATATCAAAACATTTTGTCAACATGTTCTTGTGTCTGTATACATATACCCTACTTGTATGTACACATGGACATGTAATGTATATATGTACATGTATATATTTCTAAATATCTGTTTATGTATACATAGATGCCTATATACATATATATGTGTATATATAGGCACTTATATTTTACATGCCCTCATTTCTTGCATTCAGTTTGCAATTTTTGGTTATTTTTTCTGTTATGTGCTCACCTGAGACTGTAATTTTTCTTAGGCCTTGACATCCTTATCCTGCTGTATTGACAAGCAGGTGTCTCTCTTGTAGAGTGTTTACTAGTTTGCTGCTTTGAGTAGCAAGCATATTAATAAATATTTTGATCAGAAATTAATTTTTATCTTGTAACTGTTTTTCTGACTATCATGGGGTTGATTGTGTATACTCTCTTGCAGCACACTGCAAGCAAATTATTGACCAAATCACACACAATCACTGAGTGGCTGAGACTGGCAGACATCTGGAGACTCTGTAGTCCTGCTGCTTCAGCAGGTCCAGCCCTCTGCTCCAGCAGTATCAGCTACAACAGGCTGCCCTGTATTGTGTCAATCCAGTTTGAGTATGTCCAAGAATGGGGACTGTGCAAGCTCTCTGGGTAGCCTGTTCCAGTGTTTGGCCACTTTTAAAGGATAAAAACATTTGTATTTTGTTTAGTTGTAATTTCGTCTGTTCATAATTTGTGTTCATTGCCTCTTTTCCTGTCACTGGACACCATTTAAAAGACTCTGTCTGCCTCTTCTGTATAGACTCCCATCAGGTATTTATACATGTTGATAATACATCCCTGAGCTTTCCCTTCTCTAGACTAAGTAGCCCCAGCTTTCCCAGCCTGTCTATGTGTGGCAGATATTCCAATACTTCCATCATCTTTGTGGACTTTCATTGGACTCACTCCAGTATGTCCATGTTTTTCAGGTAATGGGGAGCCCAGAACCAGCCAAAGCACCTAGATGTGCCTTATGGCTTCTGAACAGAGGGGAAAGATTATTTCCCTCTCCCTGCTGGCAACACAGTTCTGTCTGCTGCTCCGGATGTCGTTGGCCTTTGGCATATGGCTGGCTGAGGGTCTATAGGTGTCCACCAGGATTCCCAGGCCATTTTCTGATAAGCTGCTTTCCAGCTGGTCAGCCCCCCAGTGGTGCTTTTGCACAAGGTTATTACTCCCCAGGGACAGTAATTTGCACTTGTCTTTGTTGACCTTCATGAGGGCCCTATCAAGCCATTTGTCCTTCCTGTCAAGATCCCTCTCAGTGGTTGCATAAATGTCTGTTGAATGAACGTGTTGAACAACCACCACCCCCTAGTTTTGTGTTATCAGCAAACTTGCCAAAGTGCACTCTTGTGTCATTGTCCAGGTCATTAATGAAGATGTTGAGAAGTGTTGGCCCCAGTGTTAGCCCCTAGGATACTCCAGTAGTGCCTGGCTTTCAAATGGGCTTTGTGCCACAGACTGCAACTCTTAAGCCCAGTAGTTCTAACAGGTTCAAGAGAACATTACTGTTCATTTATCTAGCCTATACCTCATCAATCTGTCTATGAGCATTTTATGGGAGACAGTGTCAAAACCCATACTATAATCAAAATGAGCAACAACCACTGCTCACCCCTTAACCACTGAGATAGTAATTTTATCAGAGAATGTTGTCAGGTCAGTTAGGCATTGTTTCCCATTTGTACATTCATTATGTATCACTCCCAGTGATCATCTTATCCTTTAGATGGTCCATCACCTTCAAAGGGAGTGAGGTGTGTCTGACTGCTCTAGTTTCACAGGTCCTTCCTAAAGTACCTGCATCCATGCATGGCTGCACTCCAGTCCTGTGAGTTATCCCACCTTCTCTCTGTCTAATTTCCTTCTTCCTCTGTAAAACTGACATGAAGGAATATTCCCCAATTGACATAAAATGTAAAAATAGTTCCTCATTCACTTGAGAGCATAAAAACAGCTGTAAATTGCTACTCTAACTTAAAGACAGTGGGTTTGTATTTCTGTGTCTCAAGAATTTTTCAGATTCCAGCTGATTTGGTTTGTATACCGTTTTACTCAAAAAGAGTTAAAAAGTGCAAGTATGTGTATGAATAAACAAAGTTTGATTTTTAAAATGTGTCATAGACGAATTTAAGATGAGCAAACGTTAACGTGTTCTGATTGTGACACAGTTCCTGTGTGACTGCAAGTTCCCCTTATCCCCTCCTCTTTAGGATATGACTCAAAGCCTGATAAAGTCAACAAAAAAGATTGCCATTGACCTTAATACACTTTGTGGGCAGACCATTAGAGAACACATAATACTGTGCATCCTCAGGTGACAGACACAGATAACTGTATTGATGCTTGCATACAAATTAAAGAGCAGCAATATAGCAGAGTGGTCTTGGCAACAGTTACTGACAGTATTTACAGCAACATCTGAGCATTCCATGTTATCCCTTTATTTTCCCTTCCACAACAAAATGAAGATCTGATTGGAGAACCTGTGCAAAATTCATGCAATCTGTGTTTTAACTGCAGTGAAAAGGTGAATTATTTTCTACTATATACTCACAGTCAGAAATGAAAGAAGTGATCGTTTGGAAGGCTGTTAAACAGCTGTCAGAAAGTGCAAATATATCACTGCATCCTTATTTCTGCTGCTCTGCTTCTGAACAGAACTAAATTCATACACATGAAGTACACACTACAGTTGTACTTTAGTTTTCTTACATCACTAGTCCGCAGTGCACCTCTGCTCTTGTTCATTTTGGGGAGCTACTTTGCCGTGCTTTACGAACAGTGCGGTGTAAATAATGTTAAGTAAGCATGTCCTTAAGTGTTAATCCTCTATTGATATGTTAACAGGCTTTTTTAAACAGTGCTTTTTAACAAAATGAATGTAAATTCTTATATAATTATTCAAATGTGTCCTTATTGAATAACCATCATATATTAAATAGTGGCAAAGGTCTTAAGAGATGTTTTTTGGAAAGTTCTCTTAAAATTGTTTCCTTGTCATTCTGAGTTTCTTCAGGGAGACACAATGAAGTTGCTATAGCTGCTTAGCTTTTATATACTAATCTTTGGACATCTCTAGCAGTATTGTAAAAATGCAGTGATAACTCCTTTTGTTAATGATAACTCTAGGCACAGAGATGTTGCATATGTGTTGGAGGTTATGGACAGAATTCTTTGAGGAAGTAAGGAAGAAAATTAGTTGGAGTGCTGAATGTATATTTTGCTATCTGTATGTAATGCTAGTGTGGAATGGACTTGTGAGTTTGAAAGGGAATCAAGCAGAAAATATATGGATAGGGATTAATAGAGTGATCTGAATTTTTAACCTATGTGGCAGAAAAAAATCCAAGTTTTTAATAAGTAAGAGTTGCTGATCTTCATTCTGCCTTAATTTAGAAAGTCCATCAGCAATACAGTAAAATTATGAGGCAGGCTGATTATCCTAGATCTGTTCTGTGGTTGCATTCTAACATTATTCCTTATATAGTCTTTATAGAACTTTTATTACATTGTATAATGCACACCAAAGCTTTTGCTTACTTTGCCTATGATTGTTGCAGTAAGCAGTACCTGCAGACAAAAAGTAATTTATTAGCAAACATACGTTGTTTGTTTAGGGAGTGGATGTGTTTCAGAAAAGAGACTTGCTTCATACATACAAGTTAAGAAAAACTTGTATCTTTTCCTGATAGTTCTTGTTTAAAAAAATTTAGACATGTTATGGTCGATGTGTTCTAAATATTTTTCTTTTTGAGACTTACTGCTAAAGAGTTAACTGAATATTGATTAGAAAATGATGCAGTAGTGAAAATCCATTTATTTTAGAGCAGTTAAAGCATTAGAGGGAAATTGAAAGGCATTCCATTTTGAAACCTAACTGTTTTGTAGATATTTCTCAAAAGTATGTGATAAATATTTTATATGTATCTTCCAGTGTTTATAAGGGAATTGACAGAAAAATAAATGAAAATAGGAAGCTCATTATCTACAATAAAATTATTTGAATACAATTTTTTTAAAGTTGTCGTTCATTTTCTTAATTTCTCTCTATTGCCTGTTTTGCACAGGAAGGAGTTACAGGATCTGCAGAATCTTTATAGACAAAACATTCGACATACAGCACAGCAGGCTGAGCTGATAAAGCAGCTTCAGGCTCTCAATGCTGATACACAAAAAGTACTGAAAGACCAAGAAGATGCTCACACAGCTGAAACAACATCATATCAAAAAGTATGTCATTCTGCTTTATGATCACAGAGTTCATTTTAATATACACCTGTACAGTATCAATAGACAGAGTAATCAAAGCATTTTGTGGCATTGCATCCTTTAGATCTCTGGATTTTTATTGTGCCAAAATATGGTTGACAGAGTGGCAGAGTTTATTGGCCTAATTACATCCCAGCATGTATGCCCTTTGCATACACTGAGTTGATGAGCCTTAAAAATTAAGGTTTTGTTGCAGCTGAACAAAAATAGGAGGGAATTGCCAAGTATATAAATTTCTTTATGTAATCTTGTGTTATCTATGTTTTTCTTCTTTCCTGGAGGAGAGGAGCTTTTAATAAGTAAAACCTCCAAATTGTTTTTCATAATTTAGGAGAAGAAATTCCTTTTACTTGTAAAAGAATATATTTGTGTGAATCACAAACAATTTTAGTGGTTTAAGATTGAAAAACCTGCTCTATTCAAATTTATCTGGAAAAATTGTTACTATAATATCTTTTTAAATGGTTGATTAGTTGAAAATGTTGAGACTATTTTTATATTTACGTAACAGATTCATATTTTAGCTGAATGTCAGGAGGAATGCTAACCCTGAAGAGGTGTCATATGTGCACTACTCAAAGCTTCTTCTTTTACGTCACCGAATTACATGGATGTGTTTTTCAGTCTGTAAGAAATATAGGATAAATTTGATTCCTTTTTACAAACACTGAGAAGGAAGAAGACAAGGAAGAGATTGTATATACATCTTTCACACACCTTCTGCTGTCTTGGAACTACATTCTCAAATTGTGTACTGCCAGTGCTTTTTCCCAAAGAGGTGTTTGCCTTCGTCATCTTACTTAGATTGTGCAGTTTGTGATAAAATTGTGAAGCCAGGCCTAAGTCAAGCCAGAGTCAGTACTGGGTTTCTAAATATGTGTTTGTTTAGCATTTAGTAGCTCATACTGCCCAGCACATTACTGTGCACATAACTCTGTACCATGTGATTCAGAATCTGCCAAGGTAAGTATAAATTCTGTGTAATACCAGCATAAGGAACTACTGTATGGAGGAGACTAAGAAAACTACCCTACAAAACCCTACAGTTTATTATATTATTGTCTGCAGTGATGAAAGACATTGTCTTTTATATATTACAGTAGCAGCCCAGTCAAACTACAGGTTGTCTTCCATCAAGGTTGCTCAGAACATGTGCAGAGCAGGGGGAGTTTTCCTGTCTGGTGCAAGACAAAGTAAATTACGGAATGAAAAAAAAAGAGAATGTAGGTATCAGGAGTTCCTGTTTTTTTCGTTTTTCATTCTTCAGTCAATGCTTCTGAAGGTGTTAAATGGATCCTTTGAGTCACAAAGAGGCACAAGTGAAGTTGTCATCACTGATGTTTGTAAGACCATATTCTTCCAGACTAGTTCTACAACAAATGAAAGGAAATAAAACTGTTTTTTCATGAGACTGTTTTAAGGAATGGTGAACTCTTTATAAAGGTCACTTTACCTTGCATAGTTGTGTTTTCGCCAGTATTTCTTCAGTTTGGAAAAAAGTCCCTGTCCCATGAAAAATAATTTTGCTATTATAAGTTATGTAAGTAATGTGTCCCTGTCCCATGAAAAATAATTTTGCTATTATAAGTTATGTAAGTAATGTGTAAAACTGATAGGTGTACTTATTTATATATTTATAGCTAAATATATAGCTATATTTAGCCACTTCTTCTCTGGGCTTGGCTCAATACTCAGGATTGCTTTGGAAAGATGGTTCACAGTTCTTGGTCTGTCGTAGCAGGACTTAAAGCTTCTGCTTATCTGATCATGCTACAAGAACAAAAATACTGTGGCTTTGAAGATATGCCCTAATTTTTGATAGATACTAAATGCTTCCCCTCCATAGACGACCCTAAAATTTACTATTTTGGAGGTGTTGAATTAAATATTTTTTCAACATGGAGGGTCAAAGTTTGTCTCAAACCAGCAAAAGCCAATTCAGATATTCTAAAACATTGCTATGTGGAACTGCTTAATTGCCTATTTGTAAAATATCTAATGCACTTGGGAAAAAAAAGAAAAGGTGGTTTGGGGTTTTTAAAATAAAAAATATGTAAAAAGAAGAATAAATGTAAAAGAAGGAATAAAAGAAGTTCCCTAAGTCATAGTGGAATAGAGCTAGCAATGTTTGTGGCAAATTGACTTGAGAGAACTTCGGAAGGGAAAAGGTGTTCCTTTCTCATGGCAATCTTGTTCTGTATTTCTGATCAGAAGAACCGTATAAAATGCACAACTGTCATTTCTTCAAACTAATATGCATTTTTTGGAACACAAGCTATGAAGTCCTACTGAAATCACAGCAGGTCTTTGGAAAACTCAGCATCTGTAGAAATAATACAAATGTCTATTTTTCCCCTTGAATGAGAAAGGCAAACTATTGCAGACAAACGTGTTTTCTGTTTGTCTTCCCTGCATTAATATGCAGGCTGCAACAGCTAGATAAGAATGTGTCAGCTCTTCCATAAACATAGTCACAAAGGAATATTTTACTACTGCTTCAAATGGCATCGAGCCTATCAGCATGTACATCCTATGATATATTGTCCCTTACAGCAAGATCAATGACCTCTCTGTTAGTGGTCAGATAGGCAGTATATGCTATAGCTCAGGCAGTGTGGTTGGCTCACATATTCCAAGTTCATGTTAACAGTCTACCATTTAGGAAGTACAGAACTTTGTGCTGATGTTAATGTGTAGTATAAAACAGTAGACTGATGAATGAAAAAACTTTTCTGATAAATCTGACCAAGATCATAAACTTACACTGAGTTGTGTGTAAATCAGTTGAGGACCACAAATTCTCTTCCAAGTGTAGCTGTAGTGAGCAGCATGTGAAGATCTGTAGTCTGTTTTACCAAGTTGTGTTGGCATGCTACTATCTCTTCTTTTTTTTTCCCTTGTAAGTACAAATTTTAGGAGTCCTGTGTTCTACAATAGCTTCTTTACATTAGAGATTTTATGGAAACAAATTGACACCTATTTCATATTGCAGCTGTAGTTCACATTCTCAAGGATAGAGAATATTTCTATAAAATGTTTAGCGTCTGTTTCAGTGGTCCCAAATGCTCTGGAGACTTCATTCCTGCGCTGGATTTAATGAGACTCAATAGATTTGTCCTCACCAACAATTTCAAGGTGGAGAGGCGTCAATCAATACTAAGGATAATAAGACAAGAAGAGATTCTGAAGTCCTTAGCCAGCTTATCACAGTTTTCTGAAATTTACAATTTAAGGCCTTTGTTTTTATAATGCAGTGCTTTCACTTGATCTGATGTGGCCTTTAGGATCCATGTTGATCATACTGATAAAACATCTTATAGTGAAGGCCCTTTTAGTGGAGTGGATATACCATTATTTGTCATTAAATAGGAAATGATAATTTGTACCCTGGAACTCTACTCTGAAATAGAGAATACTGTGATTGCACCAGCAAGCAGATAAAAATAGGATAGTGACAGATACACTTTCAGGTGTTAATATTGTGCCTGCAGTTGCCTTTGCTTGTCCTTCTCATGGTGCCAGTGTGTAGAGATAGTTTGCTTTTCTCCATGTCTGAGAAATTGTAATCTGATCATCAAGTTACTGTGTTTACCATACTGAGGTTAAATTTTACCACTTCCAGTATTTTTTGTAACTGCAACAGCCTTTAAGCATAGTTTAAAATATATACATGTGTTTATTTCTATGAAAGCAGCTTTAAGTTCACAAAATAAAAACTAAACCCATATAGTTGTGTAAATTGTGGTAACAACACAAGTTCTCCCTCAAATTGGAATGAAAAGCCTAAGTTCTTTCACACACGATAAGACAGGAGAGAAACTAATTTTCCAGTCAAATATGCTGAAGCCTACATCAGTAGTAAGTGAAACTCACTTGTGAGGAACTCAGATCTTTAACGGATTCTGACACTTTGGTTCCAGTTCAGATACTGTTTTCTATCATTGGGAAGTGTGTTATTTGGGTTAGTCTTTCTCGTATACCAAACACCACTGCAGTGAGTCACATCCTTGCAGGTAGATTTTGGCATCAGATGCTCCCATAGGTTAAAGCTGAAGAAATCCTGGGTAGACTCTGCTTCTCTTACAGTGATCTTAAATTGTGCTCTCATAGGTGATGATTTTCATGCTGGAAATCTCTGTACTGATATTCTTACATCACAGTACCTCCTGTGCATAATAGTGTAGATTGACATCTGAAGAATATTCAAGTATTTGGGAAAAAAAAGTGAATAATCTATAAATAAAATAAAACTAAATGCCATGAATGTGCTATATGCTGTTTGTCTGGAGTGCCTCTTCAGGGTTTCTCCAGCTGATTTCTGCCCTTGTTCTTTTCAAGTTCTCATAACCGCATGGATTGTAACTCGGGTTTCTGCAATGGTGCTGTAATAATATCCATAAAAGTTTTATTGTGTCTTAATTTAGACTTTTTTTTTTTTCATTTGTGTCATTACTATATGTTCAATATTAATGCATGTTTGGATTTATTAATAACTGGATGTGGCACTTAATGCTATGGTTTAGTTGACATGATGAGTTTTGGTCGCAGGTTGAACTTGCTGATCTTGGTCTTTTCCAACCTTAATGATTATATGTTTCTATGATTCTATTTACTCAGGTCTCTGTAATACACTTTTTTTAGGCTGTGAGCATTTAGATAAAACATTTAATGTAGGAGAATATTTGTTTAAAACCCAAGGCATATTACTGGCTACTGTTGCATTTTATTAGACGGATCTAGCTTAGTGTTAGTTCCTCACCAGAAATCTTGAAGGAAATTCCCAAATGGCCTCACTGTCTGTGCTTTAGTTGATATCATAGAAAAGTTCATGGGAGTATTAACTAAATGCCTTCTGGATTATGGAACTGGAAAGTATTCTGGAACTGAAAAATGTGTCCCACCTGTATCTGGCGTTTAGTGCACAGGAACCATCTAAACCTTTTAAAATGAATCCTGCAAAC